ACACATAATTTTTTGTTTTTATTATATATACAAGGATGACTATAAATACAAGGAGAATTACAAATACATAGATTCAGAGTTCATAGAACAAGAAGAACACATCACTCCAAAACCATTGCAGCTTCAAAACCACTACAACTGTTAAGAGTACTTGAATCAGAAGGTTGGAATTGCAATTTGAGAATTTGGAGGTATTATCTAGATTGTAGTCGTAACTACAAGCACCGTAGCCTGAAAAAAAAAAAAACCAAAAAACCGTCAACGAATCAATAGAGAAGATTTTGTGGTAAATTAGAAATACTTACTTGGATCAGTTATGGTGATCATTTCAAAATTGTTGAAGAAACAATTACAGGAATGTCTCTCTGCGTATTGATAGTATGCATTCATGGAAACATAAGCTAGATTAAGAAGTTTGTTTTGGGACGAAGAACAATAAGCTTGGTTAGGAACCGTACTATCAATGAGATTGCAAGCACAGTCTATGCTATTTTGTAAGGTTAAAGGATCGGTAGACTGTTTAGAGGCACACCAAGTTGGTTGTGTCGCAGCATTGACATTGATTGAGAAAAAAACCATAAAGAGAAAAAAAACAGGAGAAATATTGTGTCGCAGCATTGACATTGTTTCTCGGTTTTTTTTTGTCTACTCTATTTCTTGGTTCTTATAAGGAAGACAATTAGTTAAATAATGACGAAGATATTGCTACTTTGTGAATTGTTGAAAGTATCATACGGAACCTCAGTTCTTTATATATTTTCATATTGAAATTGACGACGAAGAAGATCGTTGTAATTTAGGTAAGTTAGGCTAAACTACTCTTTTAAAAATAAACTCTAAATGGTAGACCATTTCCAAAACAATGAGCTCTCATAGCTAAGATAAATAATTTTGTTTCGATTCTATCTTTCTGACTCTATGTATAAGTCTCTGCCATCTGACATTATGACATGACGTAAAGACATCACAATACAAAAATATATTTATATATTTAATCATTTTCTCTTTCATCAATTTTTTTTCATTTAAGTTTTGTTTAATATAATATTTGTTTGTAAATGCGAATTATCTCGTCATATATATATATATATATTAAAAACCAAGATCTTTTTTAGCATATATTTTTTAAAATTTTAAAAATAGACCTAAATTACTCAAATCATTCATATATTGC